TTCCTAACTTTGTCATTAGTACTTTTCCAACATAGTTTCTAAACAGTTTTGTTTATTTGTGGTCTATAGAGATTAGCAGTAACATTGACATTTCATATTTAGAGGCATAAAGGAGCTGTCTGGTTTTCAGCCTCTACTTCTTCTGCTCTCCACTAAAAGTTTATATTAGCAAATGTTTAATTTCGACCAATAAGGAGAAATAGTAAGAAAACAATTAAAATATTTTCACATATAGACAAAAATCAGACATGAAGCGAGACACCTACAGAACAACAACCTATTTTAACTAGAACTAATTGAATGTGTGCTTGTAAAATTAAGATTCGACGACTTTTTGATGTTTTGCAAACAGTACATCTCTGATGTTAGGCCAGCAGCCAGCTCATCTCCACGAGCACGTTTCCCCTATCACAACTGTGCATGGGAATGGATTTATAAAGAGACAGTTATGAAGTTACAGACAAACATAACAACTGCAATTATAACAGATCGGCTGTGATTACTTTTCGCTACGCGCCTGGCACTGCCCCCAGTTTACTCACATAATCACGCTTGTGTGAAGAGAAAGGGTCGGGAAGACGCGTTCCTCAAAGAGGCTCCTTCGCTTTTTTGTTATTCTTTTTTAAGAGCGGCACAGTGATGCTTTTCAGAGAATAATTACGAAATGGAATCTGTCTTTGAATCAAAGCGGAGCCGCGTGGCATTATATGGTTGACTTGACAGATGGATGCAGCCACTGACAAACATTCGGTGAGTTTACACGAGCGGCATCGGCCCTTCAGTCGACTGTTGCTCTTTTCCTTGGCTGACTGTTGTAATCAGAATGGGTTGAACAACCTTGGCCACTGATGATGGATGGGGGGAGTTTGGCCTTTTTGAAAGGGTATATATCACATTAAAGCAGGAGTAATGAGGAAAGCTCAAACATCCAGATGTTTGACTCACTCAAAGAGTAAAATCTAACGGCTGCACACGGAAGTGACAACAAGCTGGTGGCGAAGATTTCCTACTGATGCACGCGGCGTTAAGCAGAAACCACAGGCCGAGAACGGGAAGTAAACATAATGATGCTAAATGGATACGTGGTACCCGCTGACCTTTTTGCTGACACTGTAGAATTCAGACAAAGCCTTTGACTAATCTCTTGCTCAGATGCATCTAGTGTAGCTATTAATCTTCACCTCATTTCATGCCGCACAAATAAATGACCTCTTCAAATGGGACGGCGTGTCTCTCGAGTTCCACTTTGCAGCAACGGTTCAAAGCTGCGGCACTTTCTGTGGTAGCAGAGGAAATAACACGGGGGAGGGAGCGGGGAGCAGGGTGCAGAGACCTGGTATAGAACGACTATTCTCAAATCCCCGCTGTCGTTCGTTTCTCCAGTTATCGTTGGCTGTGATAAGCTAGCACCGTCTTATCTTAAACCCCCAATAGGCCAAATGGTTCATCCTGCAGGGAGGAAGGAGAAATGAAATGGGTTTCACCACGGAGTAGATTTTAGGGGCTGCAATCCTCCCTACAACCAGCTTATTATCAATTTCATTGCACCTCTTCGCAGAGGCACATCACTTTCATCAGCTTAAATCTGTGGACGCTTTCAGGGTCACGTTTTTTTTAAAGTTTTTTTCTCAGCTGCTTCATCCTATTTGCAAATTCACTGGTGGGAGAAAATAACAAAGATCATGAGTATAATCCAATTTCTATTATTCATTCATCACTTTTTACTGCATGACAAATTAGGGGGCATCTGTTTTACTTTTTTCTCCAGTGTATTTATTTGACAGCCATTATTTTGAGTTAAAGCCAACATTATGCGCTCACACGATGCAGCGTGTTATTATGATTGAAAGGATTTTAAATTAGTTTAATTTTTTACCTTTTTGACTTGTGATCCCTCACAAAAAAAACGTTCTCCTCCTTAGATGGTTTCACTTAAAGTAATTTCACCGTTTGGGTCCAAAACGGTGAAATTACGGACATTACTAAGTCTAGAGGAATCTGAAATTGGTGCAACAGAACTTTGTTTATTCTTTTATGACTTTCCAACTCCATTTATCATCCGGCACCTCAAGATTTATCTTGTGACCCTTTGGAGGGAGTCCAACCCTGAAGTCGGGACCGCTCGACTGTACCTAACTGAATATAAAGTAGTTGCACCTCAAACAGCGAAAACACACACTCTGTCAAATGGGCCATTCTGTGCAAAAATCAAATTTAAGGTTTGGTGACATTTAAAGTGATTTTTGCTTCATACACTTTTAGGTACTTAGATACTTAAGTTAAGGATAGAAATAGCTATTCTGCTATTGTGCTTTTAAATACTTCTGGCATTTGCATTATATTCACATTTATTCACTGGTTTAAGCAGTTTAATAATATTTAATGGGCACGGCGAGTTCTCCGCTGTTGAATTTAAATTCATAATGAATAATTCTTGGTCCATAAAATAATAATCACACACATTATCCAAATGCAATATGTTCAGAAAAGGGCCAAATACATGTAAACACTCCTGCTCGCACCCTGGTGAATGTGGCAGCTTTCCCTTGGCAATGTTCGAGGTGGACAGGTGGCTAAGGCGGAAGGCCCACATTGTGTTTGTACTGGAACCAATGGATATGCTCTCTGATATCCAAAACACACACACACACACACACACACACACACTCTGATCCATCTCCTTCTGAGGACTTGTTAAAAATTCTTTCAAATTCAATCAGTAACAAAGGCAGAAAAGAAAAAATGAGTGGACGGGTAACGTGGTGTGAATTCATTACGACATCATGGCTCCAACACTGTAACTCACACAACCAATCCTCGTAATTCATTTTCTCCTGTCATCGAGCATTTATTAGCATTTAGCAGAGGTCCGGTCTGCACGTGAGGAAGATCGGACCAGAAAATAATGGCGTCACTTTCAATCACCTCTGCCCTGCGCGACAGACGAGCCTCTGCCCCCCCCCTCCAGACACGGACTGTCAGAAATGATAATTTCCAGCAAACACAAGCTCCAGATTTTATTGTTGCTGCTGTTGGATCTTCTCAACGGCCGAAGACACTTATGGATGTGAGCTGCTCACATCATCTGAAATGCAACTTGTTGTGTTCGGCACGGAAACTGTTGAGACGATGAGATGTTGGCAGATGCTGTTGGTTTTAAAAGTCAGGATTCAGGCATGTGCAAAATTTGTATGTCCATCCATGCAGAAGTAATTTAGATATTTCAGTTGAGAAACGAGGGGAAATAGAAATTAGGCTTTTTTTTTTTTACCATCGCAGTGGAATCGTCACCACTTTTTACACTTTTACTGAATCCAAATTTTGCGAGACAGCTCCACGAGAGAGTTGCCTGCAGCGCAAACAAATTCAATACGAGTGAGAACCAAAGACAAACCTGAAAAAATTACCGGGGCTTGTTTATGGTGGAATATCTAATGTCAAGTCTCTTATGACTGAAGGAAATGCGTGATATTTGATATCAAGACTGAGTGAAAGCGTCTCGAATACATCTTATTTTCCCGTCTTTCATCAGCGTATTTACCACAAGCAGCAACGTGGAGCCGCTTGAAACCTCGGAGGGAACTTCAGGAGAGGAGACAAGACGGAGAGCGTCAGTGAGAGTCTGGCGAGAAGCAGCGCTGAGGGAATCTGCTCTAAAACACTCACCTCAACCCTCTTCAGAGCGCCTGCAGACTCCCCTGTGGATTACACAGATCTGCTGTTGTTCCTTGTGTTTGAAGCGGCTCTCATATCAAACACCGAGCCGCTTCCCCTTCGATGGAGGTGAACTCACAGGGTGGGCACGTCCTCCTGCAGAATGCACTAATTGCGGATATCTCATTGCTTTTAATTCATTACTAACTGATGCACTGACACCATCTGAGCTGTAATTTACACCTTTCTCAACACTAAGTATTTCAAAACGTTCCTTAGTTTATCTTTCTCTATTTCTGCTGTAATTAACAATGTCAATGTTTTCGGGCGTGTAGGTGAATGAGTTTGTACATGTGTATAAATATCTATATATCAAATGAATGTGCTTTTCTTCTCACTCCTTTTCGAATATGTAGATCAAATGATTAAGTGCTTGATTTCTCCTATTTTTTTACTTCTTTGGTTTATTTTTTTCACTTGTTGTATAATTTCTCTTTTTTTTATTTACAACCTACTGACTTGCTGGTGAAGCTGCTGGAAGAAGGAAGCTCCCATAACTGCTGCCCTGATTTTAAAGGCATTAATATGGGGCAAGATGACAGGCGAGTAAAAATAATTAATCTATTTGAGTTGATGGCAGATGTCAGCTGCTTATTTGACCCATCTCTGTGTGTAAAATCTGACACTTTCCTCTTCCACTGAATTTAGATGGAAACATATCTCATCTCAGCGCATTTATACAAGAGGGGCAGATAATTGGTGACCCCACCAGACGAGGCACATTTCCACCGTGAGTCTAGAAATGTCTTTTTTTTCCTCTTCTGTCACCAAACATGAACTGTTACGTTTCTCTTTACCAGTTAGTTGTGTTTGTGTTGCATTTGGCGCAACACAAACACAACTAACTTGCCTGATTTAAAAGTGATCAGCAGCAGCGGCTCGGTGCGCACAGGTGGCACTGAAGCCTCTCCATGTGACTTGCTGGATTGATACTCCCTCCATTGTTCCGCACAAAGAGCGTTTCCACTTTCCAGCATCATTTTGTACATGGTTACACACCAGCAATTCCTCTGTAGCAGCGTGAATGGTCCCAGCAGTCAGCAGGACGCACGTTCACACTTCCAGCGTTTTCACTGCTCGCCCTGCGCTTCTGTGGCAAGTCTGATCGTGACCGTGCTTTATTGTGGTGTGTGTGTGTGTGTGTGTGTGTGTGTGTGTGTGTGTGTGTGTGTGTGTGTGTGTGTGTGCGCGCGCCTCTGTGAGTTAAAGGTGAAGTGACTTTACGCACAAACTCTTCTTCATCCAAAGCATTGCCACTGAATTACTTGGAGGTAAAAAAGGCTGTGATGGCAGAGGAGAACCTCCGGGACTTCTTTCCAGAGATGAGGGAGGTGGAAAATAAAGTCGGGAGGAAAACACCGGAGAGTCTTCTGAGGTGGATGAAGGATGCTGCGGACTGTGGAGACAGGTGTGATGTGGTGGACAGGGGGGACCACAGCTCTACCTTCAGTGGAAGCTTCTCTGACAGGATCAGCTGTTTGAAACAAGAGATGGTAAAACTCCCAGAAATTAATTTTTTCATATAATAAATACTATATTAATACATGCTAGATGACAAACCTGTGAGTGTGTTGTGTTTGAGTTGCATGTACGTGTCCATCCCTTCATATTTTCACTGTGACAAAACCTGTGCAGCTTGTTTCAGTAATCACAGCTCTGTTTCTTGAGACATGACACTTCACCTGCTGTTGATTTTTACATCTACTGACAGATGCTGTCTCTCCACCACACCCCTCACCTGGCTCCTCTCCCATTCACTTCTGTTCATTCTGCACATTCTGATTGGATTCCTCTGCTCATTCTCTCCTCATGTTCCTCTCAGTTATTTTTGTGATGTGTTGTAGTCAAATGAGCTCACAGGCAGGGGCCTTACTAGTGGTGGGGATAAAGTGCATTCTGTCAGGGGGGCCCCCAAGATAAAAGGGGCCCCATGAAAAGGACTAGGAATGTAACACAATGCTTTGTGACCTGAATATAAATCTACTAAAGTAAAGTACAGGTACGTGAAAAATGCACTTAAGTACAGTAACTAAGTAAATGTACTTTGTTACATCCCCCACTGCTTACATCAAGTTCAGGTTCAAAAATGTATATGATATAATCAGTCAGGTCCCCTCATACATACACTTGTCCCTGCATGCATCACAATTGTTAATTCTCCATGTTGTCCATGCAGAGGTGGCTGCGCTCTGCCGATGTGAAGATTCTACGGCAGCTGGTGGCCGTGCACGAGGGGATCGAGGCCATGCGTTGGCTGATGGAGGAGCGGGGATCCCTGGCCAGTCGAGGCAGCAGCTTGACAGGAAGCCTGAGCAGCCTGGCCACTGTAGAGGAGCACGGACCCTCTATGACCCCCCGCAGGTAGAGTCGGTCATCTGTCAGAGGGGGGCTCTCAATGAAAAACTGCACTTAGACAGGATAAGATGTAGGTAAAAGTCTACCTCTATTTTATACTTTTCCTCATACTCATTTCAGAATACATAGATGTTTTCAAAGTACATTTGCACATGTAAAAATGTTTCCCCTCACATCAGAAAAAATCTCAGACATCTATTTTCAGGTCCTGTATTTTGCTGGATTGCAAGATTAAGATTAAGATAGCTCTTTATTGATCCCATGGCAGGAAATTATTACAGAAGCCTATAAGTACAGAATAAATACAGGTAAAAATTAGAATGAAAACAGAATGGAATAAAATAGAACAACAATTAAGGCAGTAGGACATACAGCACTGATGTACTTGAGCTACTGGTGTAAACCATCATGCCCAAGTGTCCATGCAGTGTATCCTTGAGTTTCCAAAAAGTAAATAATGAATTTACTTCACTGCTGCTCTGAGTAAACCACTCAAAACAAAACATATTAGCGGAAATATGCTGGATAGGACTTTAATGCATTTTTTGCTTCACAGTCAGGATGTGAGTCAATATTCCAATTGTTTCTCCCATAGGGAGAGCCAGAGTCCGACCTTCCCTCAGGATTTAACAGAAACAACAGGTGAGGAGTCTGCAGGTCATCGATCACCACATGATGATGCTGATTCACTGCACAAGAGCTACTTGGATGTTCTGAGCCCCGAGTCTGCAGGAGTGAGACTTCCAAGTCCTTCCTACTCTGAGTTTGAACCCAACACACAGGACATGGATGCAGGTCAAGACTTCACAGCTGGAGCCAGTACCATCAGGAGAGCTCTGCTCAGATCTAGAAAGGCAAGAAAAGAAGTGAAAGCAGATATTGGTGGATTTTCCCAAGAATCAGGGGAGATTCAGACAGAGTGCAGTCCACCTCAGGAGAGTTTCAGAGCCTCTCAGAATGATGTGATGGAGGACGAGGAGGGTCCATCAAATACAGAGACGGTTCTGCTGGGGTATGATGCTCAGTGGTGCTGGGTGGAGTCACAGGATGATGTGACGTTTTTATGATTCTCTGTAAGCACAACGGATACTGTTGCACTTCAACGGATACTGTAGTTGCCAGTAAATGCAGTGGGATTTCAAATGCATGGAGACAACAGCTTAAAGATAAATAGTGAACACTCTGTCAGTGATTTTTTCTCGAATGTTATCTCTTTAATTGTGTTGTTGTGTTATTGTATGTATCCCAAAAAATTACAAATAACATGAATAACATTTAATATGAATGATAGAAACCTCCAATCTTGGCTGATAAATGTTATATGCTCTTGGGGATTAGATTTTCAGTATTACATATAGCCTGCAGACTGTTCATTAAGAACTTCTTCCTTTTATTGTGGGAAATAGAATCATTTTAGAACATAAGGCAAGATGGAGAATATACAAGGGATATGTATATCATATAGTCATGTGTTCTAATATGATTCCAAAACTTATTTTTATTTTTTTCTCATTATTGTCCTTTTCTCATTTATTGAGTTTATATTATGACACAATGAGTAATGAGGATTTTTGGCTTAAATTGTTATGCAATGAAGAGTCTAATATTTATATATTTTGGTAATAAATAAGACAGACATGTGGTCATGAAGGTTTCTCTTTGTTTCTCAACCAAAACGGCAGAGATGTGTGAATGTGCTGAATTAAAGTGTGTGTGTGGAAAATCTTCTTAAAGGTTCAGTGTGTAGGATTTAGTGACATCCAGTGGTGAAGTTGCATGTTGCAGCTGAATAACCTTCACTTCCCCCTCCCCCTCCAAACATGACAGAGAACCTGTGGTAGCCGTCAGTTGTCATAAAAACTCAAAAGGTGTTTAGTTTGTCCAGTCTGGGCTACTGTAAAAAACATGGCGGCCTCCGTAGAGAGGACCTGCTCCTGATTAAATATAAAGTATTTAAATATAAAGGGCCTATTCTAGGGTAAAGATAACAACAATTAGTAAAAATTTAGATGAAACACACTCGTGAAAACATCATTAGGATTAGTTTTGGTTTTTACAATAGATCCCTTTCACGTAAATCATACACACTGGACCTTTAAATATACAAATGTTAACTACAAAAATAAATAAACGCAGTAGTATATAAAAAAAGGATGAATCATTTTTGTATGAATAAGTAAGTAAGCTTGTAAATACATAAATGGCTTTTCCCTCACCAAACTGTATTTATGTATTATTTTGGCTGTTTCGGTCCCCGGTGCATACATGTGTGCGATGTTGATATTTCCAAGAGACCGTGAAGGCAGCACCTGACGGCTATCGCAGCGTCACGTATTTCCACAGAAACCAGGAAGTGCCGTGAGAAATGATTTGCTCCGGATCAGTGTGACATTACAGCAGAGGTCGATGTGATGGTTCAGGCAGTGGGGAGGGAAACATGGAGGCTTGTTTTCTACGCGGGCTCCTTCTCTTCACTCTGACGACCTCGACATTAGGAGGCGGTGAGTGCTTTGTGTCTGTGTTCCTCCGCAGGAAGCGGCTATTAGCATGTTGGCTAACCGTCCCCGCTTGGTTCTGCAGGACCGATGCTACAGAGACACTTCCGCTCCACTGTTTACACAAACATGTGTCTGTCAGCCACATGTGAACACTTTAGTTTGAAGCGGACTGTGTGAATGTGTCAGTGTTTCTGAGTCAACACACTTAAAGTTAAAACTTGACTGTACTTGTTAGTTTTTTTTAAATAAAGTTTGGCATCGAACAAGGTCAATTTAAAAACAACAACAAAAAACAATTTGAAACATTTAGTATTAAATTAGCATTTCTGTTGTCTTTCCGGTGGGTCATTGATTTTTTTAATTGATTAGCAATTGCTCCATTACACTATCTTCAGTTTAGCCTTTGCAGTATTAGCTCACTTTTGCTAAACTGCTAAGATCTAAACTTGCTAAACTCCTTCATGTTTACTGCTACAGCTGTGAAATGAAATTCTTAAACTTCTTAAACAGGAATGGGAACAATTTCCATTTCCCCAGATACAAACAAACAATAAACAGATGAAATGAAAAATCAGTCAACAGAAGATATCGAGGATCATACTATGTTTTGTTTTTTTTTGACAAAAATGTCAATGTTTGCTGTTTCTGGCTTCTCACACATGAGGATCTGATGCTTATCTTTGTCACACATGACATTAACTCAATAGTTTTTGGTGTTTAATGCTGTCAGCCATTTCCATCGTCACCTTGCTCTATAGAAAGTTATAACTATCATAGTTATGAATTTATTTTCATTTTACAGTTAAAACAATCAT